ACATAGGAACAGATAAGGTGTTTATTTATGTTGCTTTGACTTGCCTCTCATTTCCCTGCATCTCCACTGTATGAGATGAACGCTGTCTAAGCCAGTAGCAGAGTGTATTTTTTTCTTTGTCATAGCACAATCCACACTGCTCATTTTGTTCACACTTCCTCATATTTAACACATCAACACACTGCCGGCCACTCACTTTTCTCAAAGGCACTGCTGTAGTAGGCTGGAAGTGTAGTGGCACATCCTTTATGTCTTACATTCGCACTATCTGTGAGGTGCTGTTGGTCTTAAACACCATATGAGTATTAATGAGGTTGCCACAGATGATGCTTAAAGACTAAAAGACATCCACTCTTTGATATGAGTGATGGGCATGTTGTTTTTTTGTCACTACTTTGGAGCTGACCTGTATGGTCTGGAGTCACACAGAATAGAGGAGATAGATTATCTAGGCATTAGATTTCACGGCTGAAATGTACACCAGGGGTGGAAGACATGTGAAAATCTGACAGAGCTGTGAGAAGGGGCTGTGGGCGCAGAAGGGGTAGGGGTTTGGGATGGTGGTGTCTCCGTTTGAATGCAGCTTTTGAATTAGTTAACTGGGCGTATACGGGCCTAAACAGGCTGTTAAGTTGCACTTAGCTGGAAACCTACACAAAGAAGACACACTATGTTACTGATATAATTTGTCTTTAAGGGTAACATAAAGATACATAACATAAATTGGGCAGTGTTACTAAGTCTAATTAGCATTTCATGTTATCAACTCACTATATAATAAAAAGGGCAACTTAAGTCACTGTTGTGTTCACTCTAAGGTCTTCCGTTTGATTGGATTTGATTCTTTTTTGCTGTTATTGTATGTGTATAAATGTGCATGTCAGGCCATGTTTGTGTTTAGCCAGTGTTCTGCAGTCTGTTGGCTGTATAGGGAATCAGACTATATTAAATAAACTGTTTGATGATATTTAAAGATGTCTAGAAGGGAAGTGGCATTTGCTAAGTTTCATCTAAGTGGTTCTATGCATGTATCAATCTTTAAAAAGCGTGTGTGTGTGTGTTTTTAAAACAGAATTTGCCAACACTTTAATGAAGTGGTGCTTATACAACATAAGCACTTTGTGACAGCACTATAACCATTTTCATCAGAGCCCCATATACCACAGTCACACAGCATTCATTATAGATCATATGAAATACATAACTATATTACATACTAAATAGGCCTAAAAATATGCAAATTGCTGAAGCTGCAAAATTTTGATTGAAGGTAAAATGTGTGACAAAACAGCATTATTAGGATATATTGTAGTTCTGGAGACGCAGTGGCCTACAAACTTTCTGCAGATGTTTTTCAGTGAAAATGATGATGTTTTTACCATATTGTGCAGCCCTAATCATAAAACACAGTTTGCAAACACACTGAAAACATGTATATATGTGTCAAAATAAGCATGCACTTAGCTATTGAATCACATTCATTTCTGGGTCTTTATGTTGTTTGTATGCTGTGAAAAATGTAGCAACAAACATTTTAGTACATATAAATCTGACTTCAGAAGGATTACCGTTGACAAGCAAAACTCTTTAGGCAGCTAATAACAGACTACAAGAGCAAATGTGGATATCTTGTTTTGAAATGAAATCTTTATGGACTCACAAAAAATATCCTACCTCCCACATATCGATAAGTCTATTTAAAGTTCTGCTTCATTGTTGTGAGTTAAGATGCTATGATGATTTATTACCACTAGTAAATATATCTTAAAGAACTGAGCTGCAGAATGAAAAGCAATGACATAGGTTTCAACAAAGCTGATGCAAAACACACATTAGGATTTCAGCAGGGTGAAATAATAGTAAGCTGAAATTATTTTCTTAACAGTCTTTTTGTACTACAGTGAACAGGGATAGCATTTGCTGTTCTGAATGAACTGCATGGCATTTGAAAACAGAGTATGTTTGCTATTCCTCAGGAGTGAAATATCTCATTACAACATGGGATGACCCCGGTGACCCAAGTTAGAGAATACAAATGTGTGTATTAGAAACCAAAGTGCAAACACAGGCTGGCACTGAAAGAGTTGAAAGGGTTCTGCTTTGTTGCAGACAGATGCAGCTACTCTGAGTTAAAATGTAAAATACATTCTTATAGCCCAAAGAGCAGCTCGTACAATCTCTTATTATCAGAGCTGTGTGTTACCAACAGCTTGAATCAATGCCTCCAGGTTTCCTTCTCTCAGTATGAAAATGAAAGGCTTAATACACACTCAGTGTGAGGCATTTTAGATGCGTTCCTTGTGTAGCTTTCACCCCTACAGAGCTACTGTGACCCAGAGCTTCATGAATGGCATTCTGAATGCTTGGGTCCTCAAAATACTGTTTTAAAATACCGCTTTATTTCACAATAAGCAGCACTGCAATATTGCATCCAATGCTTTGCATCTCATGCCAGAATAAACGTTTTTTCTTTCAGTTCTCTTTTTTGAAATTCAGATCACTGCTCTGTGGATGGCCAACATCAACTCAACACTGAAAGGCTGATTAGTGATAATAGAACTGCTGGCTTGTGTTTTGATTTTGTTTAACTTGCTGTGCGGTACTCTAGCAGAAGGCACATTAACCCCTGTCTAATACCTGAAATTATTCCCAATATACGGAACTATGGTCTTCAACAAACTGAAAAAGAAACTTGTGATTTAGTGGAGTATTGATATCCTACCTGCGCCTCATCTGTTTGTCTTTCTGATCTGCGAGCTCTCTGTTCCAAGCTGCAGGCACAAGATGTTCACTAAGGGATCTGGAATTTATTTGTTTCTATTTCATTTCAAATAGAGAGCAGTGGCACATGTAGGAAATGAAATCCTGTAACAACAGAAGGTGTTTGATATGTATATTGTACGTGATTCTTTTCATAAGTAATCTAAGTAAAGCTATCCATTAGTGGACGTACAGGCACAGCTGATGGGTGGTAGTTTTTGGGTAGTGTGGTGGAGTTCTCTTTAGCTCAGAGAATATACTGCATTTAGTTTGTAATACTTTTATTTAATTGCTAGGCAAAAAATCAAAGAGAGAGAGTTTTAGCGGCTTTTTGACACCCACATTACTCCTCTCATCCCTCACGGATAGATAGACAGATCCCTGCACAGGAAAGGACCGATGAGAGATGGAACAAACTGTTTATCCTTCCCTTTGTACCTCTACCCAGCACCCACTGATCAATAGTTACTCATGATGTCTGGCTTTCTTCCTATCTCTCGCTTCGCCTGCCTGAACCCTCTCTTTGTCTTTCCTTCCTGTCCATCCTTTGTTTTTCTGACTTCTCCCTATTTTCTCTTCCCACCTTTTCAGTTCTCCATTTGCCTTCCATTTTTTTATTTTTTTCCTCTCCCCGTTTCCTCCCGTCTCACTTCCTTCCCCTTCTGTCCCTCGTACCTTCTTTTCTTTTCCTTTGTCCCGCCCACTGTTTTACATTGACTCTCATCCTTTCCCCTCTTCCCTCCATCCCTACCGCTCTCCTTTCTCTTTCCCTGCTGTCTCTCATCTCTTGCATGCACCACAGTAGCTGCCTCTAAGGCAATCAAACAGTGGGAGTTTTCAACACAGCAGATGCGCTGGATGGATGGGAGGATGAGTGGAAGAGGTTGAAGGTGAGCGGCGCACAGGCTGGATGCTTGGAGGAGAGGACAACCTACACCTGTCTATTTCATGTCGGAAACGTGACGGAGCACAGCTTTTTCTAACTGCATTCAATCCAAAGTTTCAAATCTACTTTTGAAAGGTTATTTAAAAAGAGTTATTTAGAGGATTTAAACTAAACAGGACACAGGGAGGTTGTAAAAGTCAGTCAGGCTTTGTACTATAGTTTCATGTTGAGGACACCGTAAATTAGCACAAATAACAATAAATGCTATTGTGACAGTCACTGTCACCATTGTGTTCTGCATGGTATGACACATTTAATTACCTCCCTGCCATGAGTCAATTGTTTGCCATCCACGGCCCTATCTGAGTTCAGTCACATAAAGATGACTGGGAGTATGCTGAGCCGAGCTCGACGTAGCTTTACCCCCTCTCATATCGCCCGCCTTCCTTGTTGTTGTTATTGTTGTTACTGATGCTGCCATGCTAATTAATTCAAGACTCCAATAATAAAGTATAAGTAGCAAAACATAATGCCAAAGCTCCAGGGAGCCAACAGCATAATTACATAACAGTTTAATTTGCGAGAGATACATTGTAATTAACGCCGTGTGGCTTGTAAAGCACCATCACGTGCATGTTAAATGCTGGAAATGGGCTTAAGACTGCTCAAGTGCTTCCTATCACTTGACACATCAAAAGAAAATGGAGCCTGCATCTAAGGCACAGCGAAAACGGCTTGTTAGTGGGATGAAAGGAGAGTTGTGATGGGGCATACTGCAGGCAGTGTGTGTGAGAAACAAATAAGTGGAAAACATGTTATTTCTACACAAAACCCATGTGAGTGTGTGTGTGTTTGTGTGTAAGAGAGAGAAAATTAAAAATGCCTGTCTCTGTTTGCTCTGTTGAAAATGTACTTAATGTTTTAATCTTCTAAATAATCAAAAATCTTAGTACGCCTGCTGCCTCTTTTCATGGGAAGAGACAGAGAGAAGGGGACGTTGCTGTCCATGGTGCTGAAAGTGAAGCTGCAGGAGCCGCGTGCACCTCCTCGCGCTCACCACAGCGCCCCGTCCTCCTGCCGGCTGGGTTTTGGCTCTTTCCTCTGTGCACGTATATTGATTAATTATGACTGGGCCGGCGGGTGGTGAGCGACTGGCTTTCATCTGTTAACGCCCGCCTCCGTCGTCGTCTCACGGGTATGACATCTCAAACATCTACAAAATGATCTCAAATGCGGGTGATATTCAACTTTTATGAGGGAGAAACAGCATGGGGGGGGGGGCGCATGGCGTGGTCCGCCACACACAAGCACACACAAATACACGTAAAAAGACAAACACACAGTGATGTGCTACCTGTATAGTTTGGCGGTTGTAGACTTTCACTACGTGGAAGTTAAAACTGTAAATCCCTTTGCGAGGCGCGATGAAATTACTCCTCTCCTCGTCAAAATTCTTCCCAACGTTTACTAGAACCTGGAAGAAAGACACACGGAAACAACGAAGGAAACAAAGAAACAAAAAGAAAAAGAGAAAATTTCATTGATATAATTGCTTTATCCAGCAGACGTCTTTCACACTCAGAAGTCACTGCAAGATCACATATAAGGACATCCAACATTAGCAACCAAAGGTAAAGCCCACATCTAAAGGCTCAAATGGTTTCATGCAACAAACTCAAAGCAGACACACATTAAGCTTCTCTAAAATGCATTCTGAGGAACTTAAACATTAAACATCATTTTGTATTGAATTGTCTTTATTTTCTTGGAGAGACTTAAAACTTTGTCATTAATGCACATCATCTGTTCAGATATCTCACTTATTGTTTTGACTGAGGACTCCAAAGGGCCCTGGACCAAAAACACTCTGCTTTTATCTAGGCTTTTTTTTTTTTTTTTTTTTGTCCTGTCAGAACTTCCAAACTTTATGCGGAATAAAAGGGAACTTAATCAATCTTTCAAATGAAATTTTCAATTATGCATTTCCGCAGCCAAATGTCTGGTTTTATGGACGGAGGCGAACTATGGCGTGTAATTGAACGGCAGTTTGAGGGAGAATTAACCTTTAACGGCAGGCGGGTAGGACCTCGCCCTCGCGACCTGCCGTTACTAAATTATTTGGCGAGATGTCAGTTCCCATATCCCATATCGTCAGGTTACACTTCCCCAACCACTTTGGCAATGTATTACCTATAAAAAAGAATCGTCACAGAGCCACATTCATTTCCGCTCCACTTTGAGTTATCTCGAGCTGCTCTCTGCTGTCCACGAGACCATTACCAGAGGTGCACGAGATGCAGCTGCGCGTACGTCTAGCCACCGTAGCCTGTTCCCAGTGCCCGGTAAAAGCTGCTTCATCGAGGTTTTTTTTTATATTTTCACACAACATGCTCCTACAAGTTCAAGCTTTATCCGAGTAATATTCGTTTAATGATGAATTAAAAAACACATCATGAAATAAACATTTAATGGTCAATATGGCGCAGATAAAACGACCTATTTTTTCTGTAAAACATAACATTTTACGCTTTCATCCACTGAGCCAAAGCTTCCCTCCATTAGCTATTTGACAACTGCCACATTAGGCAACACACACACACGAATCACACACATTTCAACTTCATATGTGCGCTGATCTCCATCATTCCTTCATCAGGTGGCAGCAATGTCCTCAAAATAAAACTGACAACACTGACTAAAAACAATTAGAAACTTTATTTATTTCTGATTTTTTTTTTTTTTTTTTGTTACTACTGCTATTTAACAAAATAATAATAGATAGAATAGATTTATTTTTTCTTCTCCTACCCGGTCGAAGTAGATGACCATGGTCCGGTTGCTCATCTCGGAGGGCTCATGGTTGGTGTTCCGGACTGCGGAGAACGCCACCTTGGCGCTGCCCGAGCGCACCGAGATCCCGAGCGCCGTGCCCGTGGGGTCCGAGGTCGGGTTGGAGTCGCACACCACTAGGCACTTCCCCTCCAGGACGATTGGTTCCGTCTCGTTCTGAGCGCGGGCCGGGCTCGCCGCGAGCCACACGGCACTCAGCAGGCAAAACGCCAACATACCGGACCAGAACGATGAACTTCTTCGGTCGTCTTCGTGGGTCTATTCCCCTTTAAAAAAAAGTAAGGTAGCAAGAGTTTCCCGTTGTTCCCCCGGTGAACCTGCAGAAGGCTTCTTTTACAACTAGATGCCACTCCGTTTTCTTGGATTTAATTAGCCTACAGCAAACAGTTTCTCCCTCGCGGAGGGGAAACCAGACGGTTTATGTTTCAGCTTCTCTCCTTTTCTTCCAAAAATCAGTTTACCCTCGTTATCTCCCGTCGACTGGCCACTTCTCACCTGTTCTTTCTCTTCTTTTCTCACTTCTCGGGCAGCTTCTCGTGTCACTTGGAAGCACAATAAACGGGAGTCGCGCGCGGTGCGGAGGGGCCCTGGACGAGTGACGAGGCAGCAGAACTCATAGCGCGCGGGGGGGAGCTCCGTCTGCTCTCTCTCGCGCGCGCTTGAATTATTGATATGTGAGATATGAGAGTTTCAAACACAAAAGGCTCGAGAGGAAGGGACGCGGCGCGCGAGCGCAAGATGCTCCCGCCCTGGTCCTACTCCTTTTTCTTTTTTTAAAAAGACCCCTCCTCCCCCCGGTAACGGAGACTTATCATCGGATTAGCGCGTGCGCGTCTTCGATATTTTCCAATCACTGCGTGCCGACCGCCCCCCTCCCCGCCCCACCACTTTATCTCTCCCTCTCTCTCTTTCTCTCTCTCTCCTTCATTTCTTCCCCCCTCCCATTGTCTTTCTTACACCTATCTATCTATCTATCTATCTATCTATCTATCTATCTATCTATCTATCTATCTGTCTGTCTGTCTGTCTGTCTGTCTGTCTGTCTGTCTATCTGTCTGTCTGTCTGTCTGTCTGTCTGTCTGTCTGTCTGTCTGTCCCCTCCCTCACATACATAGGTAGGCTATATTGTGTTCTTTCTTTCTCTCAAAAGTCTATCTTCCTATATCACACACTTATCTATTTCCTCTCTTTCTTCTCCTCTCTCTCTCTCTCTCTCTCTCCATCTCTTTTCCTTTTCCTCTCTCTCTTACCTAAACACACACACACACACACACACACACACACACACACACACACACACACACACACACACAGGCTCACAGGTGAATGACAGCCAGCAGCAGCTGTCCTTATGAAGGAGGAGTCATGAAAGCTGAGCCCATAAGCACAGACCACAGTTATGATGTGATCCGCTAGTCATCATCACCATCACCATCACCATCATCATCATCGTCACTGAGGCGGAACACCGCCTGAAACCGTAGTTGTCAAACTGCTCAGCAGCCAGCAAGAAGTCCTGTCCGGGTTGTGTGAATGCTTCCTGAAGCTGAACGAGTGCTAACAGACACGGTTCAGGCTTCATGGTTTTTATGAAAGGACCCAGATTAGAGTAAAGACTGAGGTGTGTTTGGTAATGTGGCAGCTGTGAAAGAGAGCACGGGAAGGTGCAGCAATGCAGAAAGTGTGCCAAATGAGCGCCGGTGGGAACCAAACCAACAGGGACACACACACACACACACACACACACACACACACACAACAGGTATTTTTAATGCTTCAATATTACACTAACAGAAAGTCAAAGCTGCAGCAGAGGGTGAGATAATCTGACTCTTAGTCCCTTTAGTAAAGCTCCAAAGATACTGTATACTACACCTCCCATAATGCAACTTGATAGCATCTTTTAAGTAGCTTTAATACAAACTCCACAGCAGCGAGTTGACAGTAGTAACTTGAGTTATTTTCTGAGGCTTAAGCTCCCTGCAGAGCCACAGTGGATATTATACAACTGTCTCCATTCACAGTAACACAAAAGACTGCTTCAAGTGAGTGAGGAGTCTTTTTCTAATATAAAAATCAGCAAGACAATTGATGTTATTGACCAAATCCCACTGCTTTGCACACGGGTTGTAAATGTGGTGCAGGGACATGTTCAGCTTTTGTAGTTCACACTTTAGAGACTCTGAATGTAAAAGCAAAGAAAAAGCTGTCTTCTTCTCTCATCGAATAAGTAATGAGACATGTAATAGGTGTGATAAAGTAATGTCTTTTCACAGCGACCAGTGGACCTTTAGCAATAGGCTGCGAGTTATTTTAAGCAAAAGAAATGTTCAAACGGATTACGTGAACATTTTAAGTAACAGAAACTCAATTTTTTGAGTTAAAAGATTCTTGATTAAGCAGCTTTTAGCTTTTAGTGACACTCGATTAGTTTCTTAAGTTACAGTTCTGGTTAAAGACTTTTTACTAGATATTTTGTTTTTGCAGAACAAATAAAAACTACAAAATGAATTATGTCACAAAACTAGTAAAGCTGCTTGGCCAAGATTATTTATTTTTAAATTTAGTTAGTTTGACTTAAAACTAGTAAAACTAACTTATTGTAATCAGTTTGAATTAAATGAACTTATCTGCTTTGAGTTAAAGATCAAGTGCGTACTGTACAACACACAGTTCAACACCACACAGCTTCAGCGACCTCTTTTGTCTTTGCTCACCTTGACACATGCTTCATTCTTTCTTTTTCATTCCTTTCTACTACTTTTTCTTTTTCTTTTTTCCCTCCCTTTCTTGTTCCGTATACGATTATTTTTTTATCTTGCTGTCCCTTCCCTTTTTTTTGAGCTCCTTTCTTTTCTCCCTTTTGCCCCTCCTTCTCTCCGTTCCTCCATTATTCTGTCCCCTCCCTCTCTCTGTTTTTCTGTACAGGATCTTTCTCTCTTGGTTTCTTCTCTCTCTTTGTCTTTCCTCCCCCTTCCTCCCCCCCTCTGTCGTTCCTGCAGTTTTCCTCCTTCTCTCCGTTGCTGTTTCTCTCTCCCAGGGGTTTCCTTCAGCTTCTAATACAAGCTGACGGTGAATGACAGGCCAAAAGGACTGCTCTCAGATGCAGGTTGCAGGGGACGAGCCACATCTACTCTCTTCCCCTCTCTCTCTCTCTCTCTCTCTCTCTCTCTCCCCCTCTCTGTCATAAACTCTCGAATGTAGGCCTAGATGTTGTCACACACTCAAATCTCCATTTTCCTCCCTCTTTCTTACAACCACATCACCAACCACAATGTGTGTGTGTGTGTGTGTGTGTGTGTGTGTGTGTGTGTGTGTGTGTGTGTGTGTGTGTGTGTGTGTGTGTGTGCGTGTGTGTGTGTGTGTGTGTGTGTGTTAGCTGTCTGAGGTTGTCACAGGCACACAGGAGGAACAGAGCTCATTGTTTCTCAGGGTGACACTGGCCTGACTGCAGTTTAACTGGACTGACAGACAGGAACAAGCTGCCGCCACACACCTTTGTCCATGTGCGTCGGCGTGTGTGTGTGTGTGTGTGTGTGTGTGTGTTGGTTTGTGGTCAGCAGAGATTAAAGACCTCTCACGGATATCATATTCATCGCCTCTCGACCACGAGGCCTGTCTTCTTTTCCCGACTGCCTGTCTGTCCACCTGCCAGACTAATTACCTGTCTGTCTCTCATGCTCGTCTGTCTGTCTGCCTTCTGGCCGATGATGCTCTCTAGCCTCAGACTCTGAGGCTGCGCAGTGCTGCTGCGACATTTAGGAAGTGAGATCACCAGAGTTCTTCTTTTTTTGGGGGGGAAAAGAAGGACAGAAAGAAAATAATCAAAGCTAATGTGAGAAAAAGACACATTCCTCTAATCATAATTAGGAAGATAGCATTAGGGAATACAGGACAACATTACAGCCAGTGTAATGTGAAGAAAATATGGCTCTAGTTAGCTGGCATATTGTCTGGAAAGAGTCCTATTGTCGTCACTGGACTAAAATGTGCCGTTTGGAAGCTAATTAGGTGTGAATGCTGAAAGGAACAAGTATCACTTTTTCTATTTGCAGGCCTGTTTTAGTCTTACTGTACATAAAAGGGACAGGGATACAGGATATGTCATTATATTTCTTCTACTTGTCTGAGGATATTTCTACAGAAAATTAAAATAGATGGAGGTCCTTGTTAAATCATTTCCTCTGTGTAATTGTCAATGTACTTCTGATAGTATAGTACAACGTCTGTGGTCCAGTAGCAAGAAAATTGACTTTTTCTATGTATTTATTCTGCATGTCCCTGGGTGACATTTCCCATGAGCGCTGCAGGACTGACTGAAGGAGGTCCCTCAACTAAATTACAGAGATGGCTGCCTCCCTTTACAGTGCACAGTGTGAAGCTTCTCAAAATTGCAGATGTGGAACTGTTGAGGAAACAGAGCTCCAACAGCTGTGCTCGCTCCAGTCAAATAATAATCATCTTGATTTTACAGATGATGCAGCTTGAAGAAAAGAGGCGAAGGCTGCAGGAAGACCAGCATTTAACGTCAAGGGGTGCAACACCAACACAAGACTGAAGCTAAACGCTTCTGTTGGAGCTTTTTGTTGCTCCTTACTCAGGTTGACAGCTTCAAAACAGTTTGTAACAAATGGCTCTACCTATACAGTCTATTATCATCCGTAAAGATACATTTATATCACGGCGCCCACTGTGAGTCTCCAAATAAAGATCATTAGAGGAGTCTGGCTGCAGCTTCCAGTGTCTGTAGTCCCATCGTCCCCACCTGTCCCCTCAAGAGAAAGAGCTGAGCGAGTGAAGCCTTCGCTGAGAGAAATGTCCTCTGTAAGTTGTCAAAGTAAAGGCTGCTGTGAGCCACCGGACCACTCTCAGTGATCAGGACATAATGTTTTGGTGGAATTCTTTTTAGACAGTCTGAAAATGCATGCTCCCTCCCTTTAAGAAGTTAAAGCCCACTTCCAGTCATCTGTTTTTCTTCTTGTTCCTACGGTGTGATGTTTGATCTTCACTGTGCAGAGGGATGTCTGTGCAGAGTCTGACACTAGAACAATGTTTTCACATTCGTCTGCTGAAAGTGGAACGTTTCTCTGTGCTCAATGAAAATCAGATTGTAGGGGGCGGGGCCTACGAGCATGATTTGTGACATCACAAATAGTTAGGAAGTCACTCCTGGTCCAGTTTGCAACTTAAACAAGTGTGATCCACCAGTGCACAGACACTGAGAATGGACAGTGAAGACATCTTGTGTCCAGCAGGAAAACTTGAGAAAGGAACAAAATTAGTATTAATCCTAGATTTGGGAATTAACACATTTAATACATATAATTTCTACACATCATGGTTTTCCCTTTAGTTCTTACCATGCAGGCTTAAGGCTGATTTATGGTTGTGTATGTCGACGCTGTAGCCTTCATACAAGCTACCTACGGCGTATGAGCATTAGAATTATGTGCTGGTGTGTGTGCGTTGCTCTGCAAATAGCTCCGCCAAAACGCAAGTTCGTGTTTGGGTTTCTATGCCACTGAAACTCTCCCTCGTCTCTCTCCTCAATCTGTCTTGTGTCTCCCTCGTTTTGCTTTTTTTCCCCCGCTGCCCGTGAAACGAAAGGACGAGGGAATACGAGGGGACAGACAAGAGCATGTCATGCAGCAAGGAAGTGTCCCATGTGTGCCTGTTTGTCTGTGTGTGTGTGTGTGTGTGTGTGTGTGTGTGTGTGTGTGTGTGCGTGAGTGTGTGTGTGAGGACACACTTGTCTGAGAGTGTGTGTGTGTGTAATATTGAAGAG